AGCAGCAGCGACTTAAACGACTCAACTTTTGTGTTGTTATTTTGTTTTGTTTTTTTAGGTTATGCCAGAGTTTGTGTCCTGTTTACAACAAAAATCAATATGAATAGTTGGATGTGAATGAAAGAATGAAGGGTCTGGAGTTGATCAGGTTAAGTTAATGTTGTGCTGATACTATGCTAGCAGTTGTTTATTTTCGTTTTGCAAAGTTAAAGAGGATTTTTTGTCGGATTTTAGAATTTGAGGGGGGTTTTCTCTCCCAGTGCAGGTTTAAGTGGCTGTTTCCAACTTATAAAATCTTAGTTTTGTCTGTAATTTTTGGTATCTTTATGCATGGGTTGGAAAATTAAGTGATTTCAACCCAAAATCTTATGTAGCATACCTTTTTAAAGAGGCTTTTTCATGAGATTACAAACCCGGAAATTATAACATAAATGTCCTGCCTGTTCCATTACACTTAACAACATGAGCTGGATTGGCAAATGGCAATGAAATTGACCTTCCTCAGACCCTAAACTTTTTGCCAGCGAGGGAATGTTCAATGCGGACACATCAATCAACCAAAGAGAAGATCGGTGGAATTGTAATGTGAATGACGACCAAACACCAGCAGGGGGCGTATGACATGTGGTTCTAGTGGCTGTGGTGTTGTCTGTTGCCTGATGCCTGCCTGATGCTACAGTCGTTTTGGATTCAATCTTTATTATAAAATTAATTATGTGGTTGTTAATTACAGGTCAATGGACACGCTTCGTTGGGTTATCTTAACACTGTGGAGGGATGGACCCAATTTCACGTGATTTCATTCATTTTGGAAAAACACCAGCAACATGCTTTGTGCTTATGTAAAGTTTGTCTATAACTCATTTTATAGCTCACTTCCTCCCACTGAGTTTTTATTGACATTTATGGACAATCGTCATCCCGCTGCCTATGGACCGATGGCTCCTATGTGTTTGATATTACTGCTTTGTGTTTGAACTGATTGATTTTCTGACCTGTTTTTGAAGAATTGAAAACGTTGTTAAGTCCTACAAGACGACTGCTGTTGTGATTTAGGGCTATAGAAGAAGAAATTGGATTGAATTGAATTAAAGGCGCTATACCCGTTTCTGCAATGTTTGAATGTTTAGCACCGCCCCTCAACTCGCTCACAGACTTCTCATTTCCCCTACGCTCTCATCCCATGGAGTCATCTAGTTTTATTTGCGATCTGATACATATGCAAACATTAGCAAGAGCGCAACTTCTTATAAGCTGTACAACAATCGCTGATGAAATGGTACAAAAGCAACGAACTGCTAACAAAAAACATGACTTAAAGATTACAGCTGGTTCCGGGTATGTGGTCCTAGCATAGATAGTCCGAGGCGGTCTGCTCCCACAGGTCTCTCCCATAGACTGTAAGTCTCTCCAGAGGATACAATGTAAGCTAGCTATGTTCACCCGGGCTTGATTTCTTCTTTGCCTATTTTTTCGCTTTAGTTCCCTCTTCTCTTCCTCACTGTTGTCTCGTTTGGGCTGTTTTGCTGTGTATACAGTTCAGTGTTGCCAACTCCTCAGTAAGGAAAGTAGCTATTGGCTGTCCCAAAAGTCGCTAGAAGTCGCTAAATGACGTCATCGCCTAATTTGCATAATTTGCCATTTGCAAATAACTGTAACGGACGCTGTAGGAGAGAGGAATAAGGTCGTGGGAGAGACAAAAGTGAGTAAAAACACCCTAAATATGTTTAGAACTACAAATGTACAAAAATAATTTCAACATTAACAACATTTAATGATTTTAATGCTTTGTCTAGATCCACATTACACACATCAGTTTTGTCCTGTATTGTTAAATGTTATAACAGCAAATGTAATCAAAAGATTGTTATGTAGGGTGAAATTGCTAGCTCTACAACCAACCCTCCTCCTTTATCCGGGCTTGGGACCGGCAAAGTGACCCAAAAGACACACTCTGGCAGAGTTACTTAGGTTTATTTTTGTAAGTTTTTTTTTTTTTTCATAGTTTGGCATAACAAATGATTTAATGTGACCCACTACTGAGAGAAAACAGAGTCACGGACAGAGCTGCCGCGGATGGAGTGGGGGGTAGTGGGGGGTGGCGGTGGTAGGAGTGGCCGGGGAGCTTTGGATGTGTGGTGGTGGTGGAGCTGAAGTTCAGTCTGCAGCAGCCTGAAAACTTCCTGTGCTTTTGAGTCTCCTCTCTCTCTCTCTGCTCCGCCCATAGACTGTAGCTGGGACTGCTGCGCAAGGCTACTGTGAGACTGGCCGCCTGTAAGTGCTTTGGGACGGGGGAGGGGCTCACGTTGAGGACAGCAGAACAATACGTGCTTCACGAGTCTCCAAAACACCAGATAAGTCGCCAAAACACCAGATAAGTCGCCAATAACACCAGAAAAAGTCGCTAGATTTGTCGCTAGTCGCTTTTTTGAAAAAAAGTCGCTATAGGGGTCTGAAAAGTCGCTAAATCTAGCGACAAAGTCGCTAAGTTGGCAACACTGATACAGTTACAGCAAGAGGAGTTGTAGCCAATTCTGCTAACAGAGGACGCAGCCTCGTTCTGTGATTGGAGGAGAGCGGGCGTCATGCTTAAAGGAGCACTTTTTACGGCCTGAATTCATACACAGCTGAATCAATGAGCTCAAGTTTTCAAGTAAATTACGGATTATAATACAACTTGTATGTAGTAATAAGCATTTTTATGAACTCATTAGAAAAAAAAATTGGGTATAGCATCTTTAAGCATCTGTAGCCATTCTTTTGTTTGAACCTTTTCACATTATGAAGGTATTTTGAGCAAGTTATTACTTTATTGTTTGTTTTGACATTCTATTTTAGTTGGATGGTAATTATGAGTTCAACAGCCAGAAGGACCCAGGGGCCGCATAGAAACGTGAATCCGGCCGAAGGTGGCCCCCAGCCCGCAGTTTTCCCAGGTCTGTTCTAACAGGTCTTGTATAAAGTTATACAACAATAGCCAGTGCACCATGAGAGAAGGTATCACAATTTTATTACAAAAATTAAATCTTCATCTTTCAGTTTTGCCATGCTCAGAGCATATAACAATACAGTAGAAAACCCAGACCCAGAGATAGTAAAGCGGACTCCAACAATGCTTCCACAGCACTCTTTCATTCATGCTGTTGCTATAGACACGGTGACATTCCTCGAAACAGCGCAGTACACCTGGCCAAAAACACATGAGCAGAAATAAAACACATTTACTAGAAGAACAAGAAACTCAACCCAGCTCAAAAAAACTCTACAACTAACTTGAGAAACATTGAAATATCGCAACTGAATTGAAAACATGAATGTGCTGAACGCTTGAACCAGCCCAAGGCACCCAGGCTATTGTAGCAATGTTGGCAAAGTTAACGACATTCTTACAATAGAGACACTTGAAGAAGAAAAGTGACAATTACAAATAGACCATTGTCTGACTTTGCAGTGTCCTTCAGCCAGCGCCTCCTCCTCCTCTTCCTCCTCCTCCTCCTCCTCCTCCTCAGCAGTCACAGTGCAAGATCCGGACAGGGCGGGACGGGGAAAGTAATAAGAAGGCAACAATGCACGGTGGAAATGGAGGAAAATGGGTTGTAAAGTTTCATTTTGAATTGGCAGTAAAGGAAAGTGTCAAGGCCGTCGCAAGATTTAACGGTACAGACTATGGCTTAATCATTTGGTAAATACAGAAATGGATCAAAATGAGAATTAATTGACTCTAGGAAGTTTGCTTTTGTTGTATGATTCAAAAGTTATGCACAAAAATCAAAGCCTACTTTTTATGTGAGGGATTTTCTGTCTGCTTTATCCCTATCTTGTCTGTCTCCATGGTGACGTCACTCAACCAAGTTCAATTTCAACTATGTAGAGAGAGTAAGCTATAAATGCAAGGTTGATGTGGTTGATACTAGGATGTGAAATATTTCAAAAGTGCAGTATTTCTCAGCTCCATGGAGATAATGTAATGGAGTATCACAACACGAGTTACACCTATTTACCTTTTGAAAAATAAAGCTGGGGAGATCTTATCAAAATGTCAAAAAGAAATTGTATTTGGACGTCTATTTGTGCTGCATTTTGTGTGCTTTTAATCTTCCTAAGAATGTGCCCTTACCCAACCTATCTAAACATTCATTTTGATTGATTCATATATGTTTAAATAATCCTGCGTTGTCCTGCATTCAAGGCTTAAAAAATTTCTCTTTCACCTTTACCCCTTCCATCTTCACCCATGTCTCTATACTTTTTTCTGTTTCTTCATAATCTTAACTCCAGGTCAAACATGGGGTTGGGTTTCAAAACATGACATAGCTATTTCTCCACATGTAAAATTGTTTCAGGATGTAACAAAATACAATTGAGATGAAACAGAGGTTATGTCTTTCTATACCTAAGCAAGTTTACATCAATATTATGGCAAATATTAAAGAAAAATTGAAAATAGTGGCCGATTTGTGTTAGATTTTACTACACTATACATCTCATAGTGAAAGAGTGTTTGAATGTGTACCTGTGATATGACTTATAGTGCATTGTTGTGGCCTTATACAGGGACGGGGTGGGGGGGTTGTTGGGAGGGGGTAAAGCAAAGGGTCCCAGCTTCACTGACAGAAATATGACGGACAGCGTAATCTCCGCTCCTCAGGCGGAGCAGCGGCAGTGGCGCTTATGTAATCCCTTCATCGTGGGTCGTCCAAATGTAAGGCGCGGATTGCCGGCTGCCAGTCCAAGACGATTGAAGCCGAAATGAAAAAAAAAAAGCAGAGGTGTGCATCTTGCTATCCATGAAGAAAAAAGTCTGAGAAAATCCCACAATGATCTTTTGTTTTCCTATCTTCAAGATGAGAAGTGTTGCACGTAGATACCTAAGAAATCCCAGTTTGAAGCTTCACTGAAAGTCAAAATCGTCTTTCTGAACAAAACCGAGACAAAATAACGACAAAAGCTGAGAAAAGTACGACGAGGCCTGCTAGATGCTGAGTCCAGTCCAGTCCAGTTCAGTTGTTCGAACGGCACGGCTCGAATGTCCATTTTGTCGCTCCGCCGAAGATCTCGATGTTGCTTTCTGACCAGGAGAAGACGTTCCCTGCTGGTGCTTTGCTGTTGCATGTGGCCAAGTTGTAGATCTCCGCCACCGTCAGCTTCCGGTTCCAGATGTTTAGGTTCGCCAGTTCTCCCACGTAGGCTTGTGTCGCATCGAAGCCGCCGCCTAATGTGTCCTGGAGGATACGGGTGACATGTTAGCTTCTTCACATTTGTTTTGTTTTGATTTGTATAGCTCATTTGTGGCGCACCAGGAGAGACAAGCAGTAAATCTTGAGTTTACATTTTTTTCTTGTCCTGCTTTAAGGCTTAAAAAATGTCTCTTTCACCTTTACCATCTATCCCCACCCATTTCTCTGTACTTTTCCTGTTTAGTCATAATCTTAACTCCAGATCAAACATGGGGTTGGCTTTCAAAGTATGACCTACTGTACAGTTTAGCTATTTTTCTCCACATGTAAAATTGCTCCAGGATACAATGGAATACAGCTGAGATGAGGCAGAGATGATGTTTTTCTATACCTGAGCAAGTTTATATCAATATTTTGGCATATATAAAAAATAAATAAAAAAGTAAAATAGTGGCCGATTGGTGGGAGGACACTCGACATTCACCAAAAAAAAAAAATTCTTTCAATGAGCATAATGGGAGGAAGCTGCTTCTCCTACATTAATTCTCGCATGAGGGACAGCAGTAAGCCCTTTACTCTAATCTATGCACATTTGAGAGATCTATTTAGTCTGATTTAGTAAAAAAAAAACATAAGTGGTGGTAATGTTGGTTTTATTGGGCTGAGAAAGGGGCTGCAGTGATTGATGTGGAGGCTCTGGATATGAGAAAGTGAAGAATAAAAAAGAAAATACATCAAAATGAATGTTTGTGACCACATAACCAGTTAAACGTTTGCCATCACTCCAATAACACTGCTCACTGGTCTTTAGTCCTTAGTGCTGCCTTAGCACAGTCACATGTTGATATAAGAGTTGTTGTTAAAACACTGTCTCATTGTACTGTGTCTTTCATTAATGCTTATTTCTGTATGGCGTAAGAACTTCAACGTCATCAGTTATGTTTGCCAATTGATGTATTTTCACTTCCCTGTATCAATCCAACAAGATTGATGCATGCCTTTTGTATCCCCCCATTCAAAAGTTTATTATTTTGTGCTATACAAAAGATCCCCTTATGATGCGCTAACGTCCATGTACCCAACTTTGTTTAAGTAGAATGGTTCATTAGGTGTGTAACGTAAATCTAAAGTCATGAAAAACTGTGGTATCTAACTGTTTCGCTGATTAAAGAAATAAATGTTGTATGTTTCAACCAAGAGAGTGTTGTAAAAGTAAATGTTTATGTTCTATACTGTAAGAAAGAGCACTATTTGACGTTTTGGGCTTAACATTGATTGTCTGAGTAAAAGCGGTCCTCTCTTTTTCACTTTTCTGTCTCAAAAATCTCATCTAAAGACATCAAGAGCCGAAAAATACACATGTGAAAACTAGTGATACAAACTTGACTGTTTTGAGTGTGAGTAACTAGTTGGATTGTGTTACCAAGCTCCATGTTTTGTGGTTTGAAAATTAGGTTCTCCAGCTTTTCAATGTTGCTTTCGCCTCCAGCTCCTATTACATCGGCCACCGCAGCAGCAGCAGCAGCAGCAGCAGAAGCAGCGCTATGTCCCATGCTTTACTGTCGCTGTCAGCTCACCTGCTCTTGTCCCAGGACGAGCACTCCCTCCGGTTTGATGGGATGGTACGGAGCCAGGTTCTCTCCGTTCCCCCTCATCACCCCGTCCTGGAAAGCCTCCCACACTCCATCCCGAGTGGTCCATGTGATGCAAAGGTGATGCCATTTACCGTCGTTGATTAGAAATGGCAGCTTGGCAACCTGTTAAAAGGAAATAGATAGTCAATATTCATATGTTTGTCTAATGTAACAGTTCTCGCATTGTGTGATCCCCACAGGTTTTGTCTCTTCCTGCTGAATCTCCGACAATATCACATTTCTATTCTCTTCTAACACCTTTCATTTATCACCCAACGCTATTTTTATGAGGCTCCCTGCTCTGCGACACAATTACACCAGCAGAATTCATGAAACTCACGATGGAAAAACGTAACTTTAGACCAGTGTTTTTCAACCAGTGTGCTGTGGCATGTGTGTGAGCCTTGAGACTTGGAAATGATCCATTATCATCTAATTGGTCCAAATGAAGTGACTAGAAAACAAATGATTGCGCTTGTTTGATTTTTCTTTGCTTTCTTATTAAAGGCTGCAGATTTTCATTTTTTCATCAGATTTAGCTGACGATGTGCTGTGAGATTTGGTGTGGCACGGCTCAAAAAGGTTGGGGAACACTGCTATAGATAGACCATTACTGTGCTATGCCTGTTTGTCTGCGTCGAAAACACCACTATAATGGAATCCTCTTGAGTTTGGCTTTTTGCGCTAACGTCACAGTACATTGGGTCATGGCAGTGATTTACCAAAAAGCAAAATTCATGCTACAACTGAAACTCTGTATATAAATGCACATCTTTTTTTATTTCCAAGTGTCTTCAGAAATAGCCAATTTAACTCTGCAATACTCAATTTGTCTGTCATTCCTGGACCCATCAACAAGAAACAAAAAGTGTCACAAAGTTCCACATCTTCTTTGTCAGAATACATCAATATGGTCAAATCATTTTCTCATATAGGTGTCTAGAAGTATTGACGATATACAAAGACATATGCATGATGCTAGCTAGTAGATAGGACTTTAAAACATAGGAATAATATGGCATTTTTGAGAATCTAATCACATCAAAAAAGTGATCTGGGAAAGAATTTGAACCTTTTTTTGAAATAGCTTTTTTCCCATATAGTTGCACTGACTCGTGCCCTATAGTTCGACACAAACACAAACAAAATCGTCATCTCTCTTTTGTTTTATATTTAATTTAATCCATATATCTTTTTTTTCTCTTGGCTTAACACCAATTCTAAAGCCACAAAGTGCACAGTTGATTCCAACATGCAAAAGCAGAAACTAAAATATGCTCAAACATTAGATTTACATTTAGATTTCCTACCTTGTCATTAATGAGGATCTCCATTGGGTTGTTTCCCCACTCGATCAGAACCAGCTCGTTGGACTGTCCTGGGACAGCGTAGGAGAAGGGTGTGCCCACTCCTGGAGAGGCGTTGGACTTGATCCACAGACACACGCTGAAGGAGTACATCTCCGGCAGGCTCCTCTTGGCTTTGGCGTACATGTAGTTGGTTCTTAGTGGGAACGTCAACTGGAACTTCTCACTGGGTCTGCCGTCTTTACCTGCACATGTTAACAGGTTTATAAGCACTGGGTCTGAGATGATTGATATGTGGTAGGAGGCTGCCATGAGGGATTGGGGCATAGCAGAGTAGATCATAATGTAAATGTGATCATGTCATAGCAGCGGTACGACTAAACTGTAACAACATACCACTTAACTGTAACAACATATGACTAAACTGTAATTGTATCCAAGCAATAAAGGTCAGCGATACAGAGGTCAAACTGCCATTAAACAGATGAACTAAAGAGCAATAATTTGGCACTAAAAGACAACTGTCAGGTATTTAGTATAATTCAATAATCCCTCTGCTGTTTGACCTTCAGTTTTCAGCGTGATGTCTAGATTCTCAGTGACTTGGACTCTTCCTCCTCTTTCCTGGTCTAATAGCTCTGTGCACGCGTGCACCTCTCCTATATGCTTCGAACGCATTAAAAGTAAACTTTTCTGGAAAAGATCGAGTTTCTAAATCAGAAAGTAAAGAAAGCCAAAGCGCAAACGGCTTCTGAGATATGCAAAATAATGCAGCTTCACTCTGCTCCTCCTCAAATCCGCGTGCGATGAGGGGCTGCGGCATTTTCCGCGGTGCCATGAGTGATTGGCTCATAATGAATGATTTAACATTGTCCTTCGGGGTTAAAGCACACAGTGAAGCGGCAGCTCGAGTGCAATCCAGGTGCGCACCTTTCTCCAGGTCCGTGATGCGGTGGTGCAGAGACGTAAGAGTGGACTCCACGCGGTTGCGCTGATCGGATTCGTTCCTGAAGCCCTTGCCCTCCTCCAGAGTGTTGACCCGGGACAGCACCTGCTTCTCCATGTCGTCGATCTTGTTCTGCAGCAGGTCTTTGAGGCTGTTCGCCTGCGCAGAGCTGTTGTTCCCGCGGCTGTAGTTCTGCCGCGGACAAACACAGGGTTAGAGCAGGGCACAGGTCTTTCCAAAAGAACCAACAGAGTAAAAAGTCAAACGCAGACAAAATGGACATTAGACTTGGACACGGGACACTTTGTGCAGCGGGAAAGAGTCGTAAACAAGCAGCCACACCAGAAAAAGCCATTCACATTACTGTAAACTACTGTCTAACACTTGTCTGTTTGAAAACCACATTGAATATTTGCAACGTTCATTTCACAGGAGATGTGTTCAGTGTTGTCACAGTCCACAAAGACATCATGTATAACACAATCAGACGTGAGCAGAGACACGTGGGTCCTGTGAAAGGCGGCATACTGCAGTGGCCTTACCTCTAGATTCTCCAGCCGCTGCTTGAGGGTCTGTAGGGTTTGTCCCAGTTGGGTGAGGGTCTCTGTGGTGCCTCGGGACACGTCTCCCATAGTGTTCTTCCCCCCCGGGCGCCGCGCTCCCTCTGCCACCGGCGCGCTCTGACTCTCACACCGGCTCAGTTTGGACTTAAGTTCCCTGATCGTCTCCTTGTGGTTCATAATGGTCTCTTTCTGTTGCAGCACGGTCTCACGCAGCTGCATCACGGTGGTCTTCAGGTCCTCCGCCGGGCCACTGTTCTGCATTGACGCTGAGCACAAGTCCATATCCTTGGGCACTGATTGGCAAATAAACTGCGTCTGTCCGAAGTCTTGCGTCGTGCTGTGCGCCAAAAACAACCACGAAGAAAGTAGCAAAAGTTTCCGCGATAAGACGTCCATTGTGTCGGTTTGGTCTGGAGTTGTTAAGGTGTAAGAAAAAAAACACCAGTGTGGTTTCAGCACCACGGAGCTGTCTACTGAACTGAGCCCAAGTCTGCGCGTCCACTTTATATAGAGGATTGAGAAGCGCACAAGAGCGTGAGAGGAGAGGGAGGGGGAGGGAAAGAGGGGAGGGAAAGAGGGGAGGGAGGGGGTAGGTGGGCACCGCTCAGCAAGACCCACACAGGCCAGCCCTCTTTAAGGTCGTCCCACACGAATCTGCGCTGATAAATGTGTCAGGGAGGTGCGAGGCGGTGCGTGCTTCGTGCAGTCATGACGGGTCGGTATAACCATGTGGTAATTATTGTATATGTTGCAATGACACGAACTTTCGCAAACCTCTGTGTCATTGCAACATACACCTCTGGTAACGTGCCCAGGCATCGCTGAGAATATTGTGTAAGCGGTTTTGAATTGCATTGTAAACTTTAATAATCCACAAATGAAATCACAGAGTCTCACATCTTGCAATATAGGAAATAAAAAAACCTTCCAATTTATGGTGCCGTTTAGCCTAGGTGTTTATGAACGTGCAGATTTGAACATAAATGTATTTTGCGCGTGAAGTAACGTGAACAAACCGATGATTTCAGACAATTTTCTCATAAGCAACATCACAATGTGTCTCTCTAAAGTACTTTACAGGAGTGGGAAAATTAACAATTATGACTCTACCTTAAATTAGGAATATTTTTTCTCCCTCGTCTTTCCCGAGCGCAGTGGTCCCCGCCACTGCCCATACACTCGCCACACACTACCTTTCTCTCTCTCACTCTCGCTCTCTCTCTCTCTCTCCCTCTCTCTCTCTCTCTCTCTCTCTCTCTCTCTCTCTCTTCCCCTCTCTCTCCCTCTCTCTCTATCTCGCTCTCTCTCTCGCTCTGTCTCTCTCATTCTTTCTCCCCCTTTCTCTCTGTGTATCTCTATCTCTCACTCTCCTCTCATTCGCTCTCTATATCCATCTCTTCTCGCGCACTCTCTCTCCCTCTCCCTCACTGTCCCTCTCTCTCTCGCTCCCTCCCTGTCTCTCTCTGCTCTGCCACTCTCTCTCTCTCTCTTTCTCTCTATCTCTCTCTCCCTCTCTCTCTCTCTCTCTCTCACGCGTAAAAAGCGCACGGCCCGTGGCTTTCACACTGCGCCTCTGTTCTCTCTCCAGCCTTTTCCATTAGACACACACAGCACCACACATACTCCATTTGCCACCGCCGCATGCACTGCAATGGGGTTGTGTGAGATTCCGCGCGTAACCAGCTCTTCAACTTGGATACAAGATACTCCAGAACCATTGTGCGGAGAAAAAAAAAAAAACTTCTGTAGTCTACACCTCTTAAGACTCATGTTTCATAATCGCTTGTGCATTAATAAACTAAAATAATAGGATCTATCCTGCCATGGATTTGAGCAGTACAGTAAACCCAGCCAAATACACCCTATAGACATATTTTAGTCTAGTTATTTTCATCCTAAACTTACTGAGTCACATCTGCGCTGAGTAATGGAGCAAAAGGACACATGCCTTTGAACCCGCTGCACCCAGGGCCCCGCCGGACGCTTTGAAGTCAGCGCCCCTTAGAAATCCAGGCTTCAGACCCTCAGTATGGCACTGGGGTGAACACCGAGTACACCCTTAAAGATGAAAGGCACGAGGTGAAATAGGAGGTCTTATTGTGCTATTTGTTTTAAGATGGTAAGAGCGAGAGTTTGAGACTTCAGTGGATGGTATATATCGGAGGTATTTCAAAGAGAATATGCAAAAGAGCTGAAATATTCTTGAGTAAAAATTGATCATAGTAAAGAGGCTGTAGCAACACTATTTTCCACATCTTATCCACTTTCACTTTTGTCCTCTCACCGGTACCAATCAATCTGTGTTTATAAAAAAAATGCTTTCAGCTTGTGCCGCAACCCTCCTCCTCCCCATCGCCATCTCAGTGGGCTTTTCTCCATGTTGACGTCTCATCTCTTTTCCATAAAAATTGATTTTCCTATGCTCAAAATGAATTTCCTTATGTCATACAAGATTATAACCAGGATTTTAGCACCATCAAACTATACATCATCACCATATTCACCGGCAAATGCCAATAAGTATCATTCTCTACCATTCTATTATGACTTCCAAGTAGCAGCAAAATTACCGTACTGTAACTAGACAAACGTAATTCTAACACATAATTTGTCTTTATATTATTTCCAGATTGAATTATGATTCATTTTTTTCCATTGCAGGACCATCAATAATGTGTTATATTATGCCAAATCATTTTTGCGTTCAATAAAACTAGGACACACCATAAACACACATAACTCTCAGTTCCACTTGTTGTTTGTCCTACATCCTTCAGCCTCTTCCTGGTGCATGAACAAGCCGTGAAAAGCTTCCTCTTCAATAACAGCCTGCTGTAAATAACACATCATGACACATCTGTTTTATTTTCTTGTCTTTTATTAGTGTTTGGGGGACTATAGTCTTCTACCTGAATCCGATGTGCACCTTGGATCACAGGACTAACTACAGCCATCACCACTAAAATAAGAAATCAATAAAAACTGATTTCTACGAAGCATTGATCCACTATTTTATTCACTTTCTAGCTGTGCATTTACAGTATTCACGGAGACATGTGTTGCTCATTTTATGTTTTTTTTCTCTTAATGTGTTCTTTTCCCATCTTATTGCCTTATCAAAACTCATTAGAGATTTAATGGGAGTATCCGGATCTAAGAAGTAAATAATCTTTATTGAGCACTTTTTACAGACAGAGAGAGTCACAAAGCACTTTACAATTGTTTGTGTGAGTCAAACCTAAAGGTGTCAAGCCTAGGACTTTCAAGACCTTCAGGAGCTTCAGGAACTTCAGGACCTTCAGAACTATCAGTCCCCTCTGGACCTTCAGGATCTTCAGGACCTTCAGAACTATCAGTCCCCTCTGGACCTTCAGGATCTTCAGGACCTTCAGAACTATCAGTCCCCTCAGGACCTTCAGGATCTTCAAGACCTTCAGGACCTTCAGGAGCTTCAGGACCTTCAGGAGCTTCAGGAGCTTCAGGAGCTTTAGGAGCTTCAGGAGCTTCAGGAGCTTCAAGAGCTTCAGGGCCTGGACAAGTTTGGCCCAAATGGTATAATTCAAGACAAAAGGTACATTTAGCTGTCATAAAAAGAAAAAGACATTCTCACATTTATTGGATATCTTAATCATAATGCATATTGCTCCTTGCAGATGCAGGAGGGTCGAAGGACAGTGATGATCCAGGAAATTAAGAGCATTTCTGGTCATTTATAAACCTTCATGGACATTGGTCATCGGCTTCCTATGTACCAATGGCTCCTATGTGTTTGTTATCATTGCATTTTTAGGGTTTGAACTGATCTCTTGTTGGCGAATAGACAACTTTGTGAAGCCCCCCAAGACGTTTGCTGTTCAAAGCCTATATCAATGCTATTAAACGGACTAATATTTGCCACTCTTTTCACCGTTGTTTGAGCTTAATCAAGTGAGACTTATTCCATTGTTAGAAAGGAGAAACACCAGTCTTGCATACGTGGCCCGTTGCATGAAGCTGACGCCCCCCCGGTGGCTACGCTGAAATGAAAATTGACCGCACAGTCCTCTTTAATTTGTTTAATTATTGATCCTCTGTCTTGTAATCAGCGAAGGTGCAGGCTGAAGGCGGGATAGAACCAATGCCTAATAGCCTTGTCTAATTGCCGGGGCCCTGCAACGACAGGCATGTAACAAATTTGACTCCGACCACGCTTTAACACTCATCGCTTGAAACATGCATCAACAAGTTATCATTAGCACAAACCGGACATACTGTACAACCTCATCCATCTCCGGGAGACCAACATCCTCCTTTACTTCATCGATTCATCTATCTCCAATGACCGTCCTGATCCAAACATTTATCTTCTTGGCATAATAACATATCTGTAAAACTGAACGGACACAAAATAAACCAATAAGTACAACAGTTTTTTAGGCCTATGTTTACGGATGAAAACTGCTTGGTAGCTAAAATCCGGTATATTTACGTTTGTTTTATACTGATGTTCCTTAATGTGTATTGTCCCTTGCAAATAAGTGATAAAATAAAGAAATTATGTTTTAACTGTTTCACGGACTCACATGCTTTTATCAAATCCAGACTTTTTATCGTTCCTTGCTGATGATCCGGGACATTTATGAACATTAGTCATCCCGCTCCGTATGGATATATGTTTGTTATTATTGAACTTCCTGTGTTGATTCTCTGATCTGTTGTTGGTGAATACAAATAGAAATTGAACTGAGTTGAATTTTTCCTAAATGAGGTGAAGCAAACTGTTTTCCATGGTTTCCACTTGAGAGTATAAGATGTCTCGAGTCACTACTGTAGCCTTTAAATCGTATCAGGATTCTTGCTTTATCCCACACATAAGGAGTGCAGCAGTTATTACACCATATGCTTAGCTTGGCTCCAGTTTATCAAATATGTTTTCCACCAAAAAACACGGAAATAGATTACGTTAGATGTCACTCATGTTGTTGTTCAATTTGGATTGGTCAGGACTAACATAAGAAAATCTTTCCATGATCTCAGAAATTTAGTTGAGATAAGACAAGAAAAGAGTTCCTTTATTCGTCCCACAGTGGGGAAATTTCGATGTTGCAGCGCACAGACAGGACAGCAGTAAGAGCACACAGGGAGCACACAAAATATACAAAAAACTAGTAGCTATGTTTCTTAACTAGCTGTAGATGCTAGAAAAATATACATGTGCAGAGTTATATACTGTACATATAGGGCAGGATAATAAGTAGATGAAGTAAAGTGACATTGTTCAGTGACATTCTGAAGTTGCAGTATTGCACATTGCATTACAGACATTTACAGGCTCAGCAGTTCTCATTATACAGTCTGACAGCAGCAGGGAGGAAAGACCTATGGAACCTCTCCTTCACACAGCGAGGGTGAATTAGTCTGTCACTGAAACTGCTCTCAAGCACCGTAAATGGCAAAGTGGCATGCTCTCTGCCAAAACAATTTCCAAGTGGTAACTTTTGTTTGTTACTAACGTGGCAATAAAAATGATTCTGATTCTGATTCTGAAGAGCAGAGAGAGTGTCCTGCAGGGGGTGACAGTCATGGTCCAGCATGTTAGTTGTGGTACTACTGTTGAATCTAAAGCTCTCCTGTTTTGTAAAATGTAAAAAGAAAAAAAATAGTGGTCACAAACTAAATATCTCTGTGTCTTTCTGATTCACTTACAAAGGTTTGCCTGATTTTATTTCGGGAGTGTCATTATTCCGGACTCTAAAACTTTTATTTTTGGGATTTAAATTCACTGATCAGACCTGTAACCTGTCATATTATTCCAACCCCGTGTATATTTGAAGCTGGAATGCCTAACTTTGAAACCTCAGAAAATAGCTATGTAATAAAAATCCAAGTAAGTGGATCCTGGCTCTCAACGGTTTGGTTCTATCACTAGATTTCAATTGGCCTCTACCACATAATGTATTTAGAGCCTTTCCACTGAATAAGAGAGTACTATCACTCAGCCAATCAGCTCGAAGTATGTTAATTATCACGTGTTTTCTAGTGATATCAAGACAACGTATGGTCCGATTTACAACATGTTGGTTAAGCGAGGCTTCTGTTAGGACAACCAAAATGTGTTATTGAAACAAACAAGTTAGGTATACAAGTTTGAAAAGTTTAATGCCAGATTCTACATTTGGTTAATGTGTGAAACACTTACAATCCTGGTGGTGGTGTACAACAGTTAACCTTTTAGCTGATTTTTTCACTTACAAACATGAATGCTTCAACCACCATATCAGGATTATATATATTTTTTCATTTAATTATTCATTATGGACTTAACAATATCATTGGACAAACCAGATGCGTTTCTGTAAGTGTTATAGCACATGTACTAGTTCTCAACACTAGTCCACTGAGGGCTTTTACGTCGCATTTCATACAATTACAATAAAATGTACACATGAGAACAACTCTATCTAGATCTTACTCACTGTTAGTCTGTAGTTTTAGTCCAGTGGGGAAAGACTTCCGAAGTTTAACCCCCTTGAAGATTGTCCAAAGAATGTTCTGTTGATAAAAAATGATGCCTAAAAAATACATCTACAGGAGTTGATAGAGTTATATTTATGCTGACAGACAAAGTCAATCCCCCAGTAAGTGTGTCATGGCCCAGTTTTATCGGCGGCTGCTGCTTGGACCTGCCTTTCTTGTTGGTGTGTTGACACTCACCTCAGCGTTCAGTCCAGTGCTGACGCTGTTCCCAGAGTCCTGTGCCCCCAAGAGGCTCAAATCCATACTGAGCCAAACTCTCAGGCCCACTGAATAATGCAGGGCTTTATAATAGAAGCCACTTTCTAATGGCGGAGATAGATACGAGCCATTTCACACACTGGCAGCAAAACGCCCGCTTATTTATCCGCATCTGCAATAACAGGAGTGAGAGGACGGGGAGAGGGAGAGAGAGGGGGAGAGGTGTGAGGGGAGCTGCTGTAGAACTGACAACCGCAGCACAAACAACAACAGGCAGTGGTTTTGGGAGCAGTGAGAAAAAGCGTGTTCGACATGGCACAATTTCACTGATCCTCCGCCTTCAGAGTTGGAACAAAGTGCTACAGTGAGAGACTTTGTTTGTCTATTCATGCTTTCACTGTGGACGTGCTGAATATGAGCCCATCCAGGTTTCAATGGATTATTTGGATCTGAAATTTCACACACATGCTCCCCATACTATCTAAAAGTCTGTCATACGAATGCTTAAAGTCCATTTATTACTTCTCTGCTAAGAATTGGTCTTTCTTTTTTGTCCCTTGGAGTTGGTACATGAAACACAGCGTTGCATTAACTATTGATTTTATTATTTCAGTCTATCTACTGTATAAATCTATATATATATATATATATATGCTTTATATATATGTCTTTATATATATGTCTATATATATATGTCTTTCACCTCTCCACTGGGGGAATGTTTTATGCCTTAACCTGGAATATTTTTGCTGTAGTGCAATATTATTGTAAACTTATTTCTGTACGCTTATTACATAGATATTACCTATTTTTATCATGCAATTTTTCTGGACTATTACTTGTAGATTAATCAAAAGTAAAGGTTTTGTGAGAAAATATTTCAGGTGAAAACTCAGAACATCATTTATAAAAACATAGTCACTTCTGTTATTTATAAAACAATGTAAGCTATATCAATTGTTCCACATCTTGTAAAAAACACAAGTAAAACATCGGAAAATTTGAATATTTTGAATACCAACATAATTTAACATGCAGGCTTGGCATATCTCACTTTGCATGTAATGAGTCTGCCACATATTGGTTCCACATTTTAAGTCGATATTTTTAACGATTATATTTTTGTTAACATACTTACTTGCACTTAGCTTTTTAAAAATACTTATATATAGACAATCGATAAAAGACTTTTAGACAATTAAACAATCTACTAAGTGAGCACATTTGTCCAGGTACTGTATAGGTTAAAAATACACTTAAAGTCCACATGACATGCAGCTGGTTTTGTGTCTCACTGTCTCCAGATCTGACTGTCACTATTGCTGCATCGACGTCTGCATTGGAACTGCTGCTGCTGCTGCTGCTGCTATGGGTCTGTATTCCCAATGGAGACCAAGGATTGAAATGCTCAGTGTTTTATAGGCAGACACGACCAAAAGTAGGTCAGCCTAAACTTCACGTGTCATCCTCTCTTATGAAAAACATTTGCCCTTTTATATATTGGTGATCAACTATCCAAAACACACAGGACTTTCTCTGATGTCCAGTCACTCCGGAAGTCGTTCTCTTCTTGTTAAAAGCCACAGTGACATAAACAAATAGGTTTGGCATTACAGGCTGCGGCGGGCGCTATGCTAACCTCATCATAATTCTCCTGGGCTGGGACATTAACACTTTAGCTGTTCATCAAGCGGCTTGTCTTGTCGGCCTCGTTGGAGCCGATCCAGAAACAACATTTCCCCGGATTCAGACAGTTTGGGCAGGGACCGGGGCCAAAACACAGCAGTGGTGTATCACGGGGCTCACTGCGTAATCCAGCAAATCTGGCACGAATAATCACAACACGAAAAAAAGAAATTGTCGGGTGTTAGGGATTATACTAAAATTTGTTTAAATGACCAAAGCCTTTCAGACTGGAGGTTCTGGTCTTTAACTAGAAACTTTGTTTATATAGAATTTGGTATTTTGCCATTGCAGGAGTCACTGATCACTTATCAATTTCAATACAAGTACATTTATTTTTGTATAGCCCTAAACACAGCAGCAATCATCTTCATCATGTTCTCCATTCACCAACAAAGGATCAGAAAATCAAACTGCTTGAAAACAGGAAATGCAATAGAAACAAATACATACATACACACTTAGCCTAAAACTATAATCTGACATATTTACTTTTAATAAAGGTTCATTAATATGCATTAAATAAATAAATACATAGGAGCCATCAGTCTATATGGAGCAGGATGACCAATGTAAATATGAATAAATGTCCATAAAGTTCCCAGTCCTTCCTTGTTGATTCTTGTCGATAAGAACAGAGATGACCTATAATCAAGTCTAGATTATTCACATACATACCGATTATTTTTTCATCCCTGTGGCATATTATTTTATTTGAATATATTGAGGATTAAAACGTATCATTGATTAGGCTAAAGACATTGTGGCTTCTTCATGAGCAACACGGTGGCGCAGTGGTTCGCGTTCACGCCTCACTGCAAGAAGGTCCTTTCTGACTGGAATTTGCATGTTTCCTCAGGGTGCTCCGGTTTCCCCTACCACTAAAAACATGTACAATAGGTCTGGCATGCACCTCCTGTACAGAAACCTCACTTCCATCTCTGTGTGGAGTGAGAGACAAATGCTCGCAATTGTAAAGTGCTTTGTGACTCTGGTCTGTGAAATGCACTATAAAAATAAATATCACTTACAAGATTTCTAGGAAGTGTCCATAAAATCATATAAAAACATTGTTGTTCTTTTTTTGATGGACTAGTCTTTTTGTCTCAATGAACTATACGCCGATGCTTTGTCTAAAATATGTTGCAAAGTTTTTGTAGTAATATACAGTAGAACAACATTTAGCTTTTAGTAAAATGTTCTTCTTTAGTGGAACGTTCAACTGGAAAATTCACAAACCTCATGAACACTCTTTGGAATGACGCTGCAATAACACATTTAATATGGACTGCATCTTGCTTTGTTCATAACACTTTAAGGAATGCTGTGAAAAGTCTGAGCAGATACAAATAGATACAAAATAAATAACGTAGAGTTCACCGCACATCTGAAAACAGGGCGACAGTTCCTCTGGGCCCGAGGCGGACCTGAGGGAACGCAGGTGTTTAGGTTTTAATTACATGAAGTGAGACGTGGAGACTGCTGCCTCCCTCACAGACCCTGACAGCAGCTCAGTTTGGTTCAAATCTGCAAATAGTAATAAATATGAAGCAGTATTCTTGTCTTTTTAAGGTTTTTGTTGCAGTGATTGGGAAAAAAACGTCTGTGTTTAATGTCAGTGTCAATGTCAATGTCAACTTCAACTGTATAGCACATTTACAACAACACCAGCTGCCCAAAGCACGTCACAGGCAAAAGAAAACAGCCTAAAATACATGTAAAAAAGTAAAACTCAGTTGGTGTTAAAAGCCAAGGCCAAATGTGTCTTTAGACTAGATTAAAAAACTTCCAATGAGCTTCTCTAAAAAAAGAGATTGACTATTCCACAGTTTGGGGGCAGCGACAGAAAAAGCCCGGTTTCCTCAAGTTCTTAGACGAGACTTGAGCACGTTCAACAGAATCTGGTTTTCGGACCTCACTGATCTGACAGGAGCAGACAGAGATAAAGGCTCTGACAGATATAAAGGGGCCAAACCATTTAAACATTTAAAAGCATCAGAATCTTAAATTGACCCTGAACGTGACAGAGAGCCAGTGAGTGAGGCCAGCACAGGGGTGATGTGCTCTCTCTTACGCTCACTGATGATCATTTTATATTATTAAAGTAGGTATATGTAAGATTTTCATGTCAAGTCGATAAGAAACACATACTTAAGAAATATTCACAGATAGTGGACTCCTTTAATCAATAACTGAAATATATAGAAGATAAGGTACGAAGATGGTAAGAAAGATTTATAGGGATACATTTTTGGGAAGCTTGCTGTATAGAGCGTGGAGTTACAGTAGGAGAAAATTCTGCTTCTTTGGGTTTGAGGGTCAAGACATTCTTTGTTTGTTCCACAGTGGGGAAATTCCAGTGTTGCATCATATAAATGAACAGCAACTCTATACTAAAATAAAATAAAATAAATTATATAACATCTCTAGCTTTAGCAGATTATGATATCTTTACAAAGTTTAACGGAAGAAAAGGAAGTAAGTAAATTATTATTGGTCTTATTGATTACATTGCAGCTGTAGTGTCATTTTGAGGACCAGAGGGTTGAGTGCTTTGAGAATCTTTGAAGGAGTTTTGAGATAAGATCACCTTAATTTGTCACAGTAGACCAGCTCTATTCATTTAAATTCCCTCCCTTCCTCTAAAATCATACCTACATCAAATATTTTCACATGATACATTTCTCCCACTTGTATTACACTCGCTGTTGCTTTAAGGAAATGGTATCATTTGCATAATGGAGCAGATGTCTCTATGATCTAAGCAGCATCAGAATCATTATTCACTATTCTTCAGAGCCCAGAGATCTATTATTCATAATGTTGGAGCGGGCCGTACACGTCTCACCACTGCACCTCGCGCTCATTTATTTAAATCCACTGTAAACGAGAGCACTGGGAAACAGTGAATGATACAGATAGACTGTTTATTGATCATTTTTCAGAGCTCTGATTCAGCAATCTTCCACGTAAAAGACACCGGTTATTGTGTTTGTTAAGCAAATATGGAGTTGGTAAATGCAAAGCTGTGTATATTCAATTTTACAGCAAAGGTAAAAAGGGAAAAAAGACTTCTTCTTCCTTCTTCTTCTTCTTCTTTCTTCTTCTTCTTCTTTTATTTTTTGTAGACCTTTATCAAACCAGAAAAGTTTGCAGAATGTCTTTTTCAGGGGAGTCCTGGGTGTTATGGGGAACTATTGTACATATTTTTAGTGGTAGGGGAACTCAAAGCACCCGGAGGAAACCTATGCAGACACGACCAAAAAGAGCCTGATCTGGGAGTTTGTGTTCGGCTAATTGGCATCCACGATGACATCACACAGCAGCAGGTGGAGGAGCTGTGTGAAAAGAAGTGCAATGAGGCATGTGATCGGAATATTTATACAATTGTACCATAAACTACATTTTCAGAAACTGCGCGCACACTTCTACCCTATGACTTTTGCATAGGCACCGCTACTTGACTGCCATTGGCTCTCATGTCATTGGGCCCCTCCCCAGCCTGTTGCACTTGGGTCTAAATGTTGTATGTTTTATGGGTAAGATGTCCCCAAAATGTTGCATGTAACAGAACTTATGTATTCATGCTTTTTGTCTTATCATAAAGTAAAAACGGTTTCTTATATGTATTACTCCCTAAAAGTAAAAAGTTACTGATATTTTTAAATAAAACTTTACCAAAGGCACAAGCTTCAAATGTCTTGAAATTTATCAATTTGGAATGAGGAATACTAGTATGCACTCAAAAAATACAAACTACTTTGTTCCAATCAAATCTAATATAGCACCTTTCAAGACACCTGAATCTTGTTACAGCCTCATTCTATCACTCAATACAAAACGTGGGAAGCACACCTGCGCTGTCATCCGGAAACTGACAATCGTATAAAAACCCCTATAAAGTAACCTTGACCTATTTAACCTATAATATCTATGGACCTTGGGAGCCTAAAAACATATATAATAAAAGTATGTATAATTAAATATATCTTATTTAATTCCACACACACACACACACACACACACACACACACACACATGAATAAATGTGTCCAAACATGTAGTTGTTACTTCAAAGACATTGTCAAAATATTCAGTGGTAGTTGCAGTAGTATAGTGGTATCGTCAAAGATCTTATACATTTTACAGAAAGTAGTATAGTAATTTTAATTGAGAAAAGGTACTGCATTTCACACTAAGTTCATTCTTTTGTCCTTTTTTCAATCACCAACACAAGGCACACATCATACTAAAAACACTGCACTCTTTTGTGTCCAGATACACAAGGATAAGAGACACTTTTCGTTATTCTCATATAGCCTAGAGTACCTTTATTTTACATATTATCGGCTCTCAAAAATAATGTCCCAGCTATACTTGACCTTTCCTGGGCTTCAGAGCTCAAGGCTGCCTCCTCTCATCCACACCTCTCCTGTGCCGCCTCTGCCAGACGACGATGAGGACAAGTTGTTGAATAAAGGCAAAAACATTATATATTTTTTGTTCCAAATCCACAACAGCCTTCAACATATCACGTGAAAGCATAGATCAGACACGTCCAAACCAAGGCCCGCGAGCCAAACGCGGCCCACTGTTTTATTTTATGTGGCCCTCTGCCTTGCTAAAAAAAATATCCATAGTAGCACTTTCACAGAGTCATCCAGCCAACTTCAGCTCCACCAATATACAGTAGTCCTGCTGTACCTCATTGTAAAGCTCTAAAGACTTTATCTGTATATTCTTGTCCTTATAGTCATTTTTTGGCACCAGTGTTGATAAATATGAGCATACCCAATTTTTAAATCCCAAATTCTGAAAAGCAGTTTTAGAATGTAGAAAGGCTCTTGGATGTGTCTGGTGAACTAATGTGGCCCTCCTACTAAAAAGTTTGGACACACTTGGCATAGATAGATCAACTATAATTGTATCTCAAAGCTAAGACAAATTACCAAGCTTTATTTAAGAAAAATACTGCAGTTGGTAAACATGTAGTTGTTTTTCAGTTCATTCATTTGCTTTGAACTCGTCTGAACGTTATTGATCTAAACTAAATAGACTTGTATGACGTCTGATTTAACAGAGATCTGCTTAAGAGAGTATTGATCCATTTGTCAGGAGAGGCTGGAGAAGAAGAAGCCTTTTGTCGTACAAGGGTGCATTTCATTCATAACACAGACAAATGAAAACATTAATCATCCATGTTCATTCAATACTGTTAAAACATTCTTTAATATACTTTATTGTGTATTTGCATAGTACATCTCAACACTCTAAAACACGTTATACACAAAGCATTTTATTTTTCATCTTTTCACCCATTGTGCCAAAAAAGAAATGTATCAAAATAATTATGATGATAGTAATAATAATAATAATAATAATGCTAATAATAATAATAATAATAATAATAATAATAATAACAATAATAATAATAATAATGAATAATAATAATAATATTAATAATGCATAATAATAATAATATTAATAATGAATAATAATAATAAATAATGGATGCATAAATAAATGAAAAAAAAGAGCCTGGGTTAGCTTTAATTCACAGATACTTTGTCAAACTAAAAAATATTTATCATTATTATTATTGATACCGATTGAATATTGTCATCATTGAAATTCAAAGAATACAGTCTCTTGAAGAATGGAGTTGAATGTCCAGTCTAACATATAAGAGACAAATGGATGGCTAACTATCCATGTCTGTTATTGAAATGACTATGCAATTTTGCAATTTTGGCAGTTTTTAGATGGTGAAAATCTTCTTATGTGACTACAATGGTTCATGCCTGAGTCATGATCCAATAAACAAAAACTGAAAAAATCTATAACAGCTTCTATGACAAAAATCCAGTGTCTTTAGAAGCCCATTTGACTGTCCATCTCAAACTGGATTTAGATCTGGGCTTTGGGCCATTTTAACACATGGAAATATTTTGTTTAAATCTATTTCCATTGTATGAAAAGTCTTTGTGTCTATGAAAACAATGGTATGAACTTCATAACATTTGAGTTTATTACATTGTTTGAGTGCTGGCTTACTACTGTTCTGTATTGTGTTAGTGACGCTGAAATGTCCCCACAATGTATAAAGTCAAAGGTATCTTATCTTTGTGTCTTTTTCATCAATTTTTTTCATCATGCGCTTTTTCCCTTTGTTTTATGCTCAAGGCCATTTCATGATCACAAAACTTCCTTCACAAAATCCTTCCCCCTATTTCATTTGCTATGCCTTTGAGTTTCAATCAGCCTGTTGGAAAAACTGGATTTTGTGCTTTAACGTTGGGAACAAGGATATATTTAGTCTCGTCATACCACTATTATGCTTTTTTTATTCAGAGAAAAGACAAACGAGGAGGGAAACAGCCCCAATCTTCTCTGCGTTTGCTCTCAATCCGGGTCTCCACCTCTATCACACCCCAGAGATTGGATTGATTTCCTGCCGCGCTGGACACTAAAAACCTGGGATCCACACGGCACATTCAGCACCGGATACTCCACCTGTATGTTGCTGCCGGTGACACATGCCAGATTGCCAGAGCTGCGTAACGCCGGTACAAAAAAAAAAAGGCCAAGGCAATGATTACAGCTCTGACAAAGACACCAGTAGGGATATTGTCCTGCCCTATCCATCTGCTCCAGCATTTTCATGTTTTCTACTGAGCTGTGGTTACTCATCCCTGTGAACCAAACATTGTCCTTTTAGTTCAAGACAGACTGTTGTCCTCGATTAAAGTCATCAAGGGTTTTGAGCAAATCTCTTTGTTGACTGAGAACAAACTGGTAAACATGTTGACACGGCTCGGCCCAGTAATAAAGGATGGTGACTAAATGCAAAGCTTTGTAGTGATGAGCCTGGGGCAGATGGGAATGGGAACAATAAATGAGTGATGAATGAGTGGCACTTTCCAAAGGGCTGTAACGTATAGACAGAAGTTTCATCACGCTGCATAAGTTGTCTGGTTGATGGCTTTTATTGTCTCCATACTAGTTATTATTTTTGTATTGGATTGTATTGTTTCATCTATTTTCCATTTCAATAGAACACAAGCATTCCCTTTGCCCTCGGCTGTTGTTCTCAGATCTCTGACAGAAGCCAGAAATACATGCACAATGAATGATGATGGAACAAAACTGTTTGAAGGTGAGGTACTATTTAGATGGATTTGATTACAGAGCTCCTTTTTTGTGGTTGGAAAGTTAGGTACCTCTGCTTTAACATGGAAAATAGCACTGGGAAGAGTCTGTTTATCCAGCAGATCTGTAGACTGGTATTGTATTGTTGCAGTTTCTTCCATTCTGCAGTTTGACTGCTCCTCTTCATACTTCTACCAACTTATTGTTTCAAACCTCAGGACACTTATTGACAATCTGCACTGTCAATGTTTATTGTGTTGCTTACGATGGCAACTAAAAGATAATTCTAAGATAAAGAAAGAAAAGAAAGATTGTTATTTATTAGTCCCACAGTGGGGAAATTTCAAAATCATCATTGCGTACATTGAAGCAAAATAGAAAATAATAAAACTCAAGTCAGGCACACATCAAACATTATTTATGATTTAAGATAGTAGATAATAAAATATCTATTTAAATTTGTGTCCTTGGTCAAGACACTTGACCCCACTTTGCCTGAAGCTCCCGCTGAAAAATCAAGGCAGCTCAGACAAGAGCAGCCGTCCTCCTGTGGACTCACCACCTGCAGGGGGATCAGGGGGGAGCTGGTGCTCTGTGAATTGGGTGCAGCTCTGACTGCCACCCCCCCGACCTAGAAATGGATAAAGGGGAAGAAAATGGATGGATGAATAATAAAATAATAAGGTCATAAACTCCGGAGTAATAATTGCACTCAAGTCAGCAGAGGTCATGAGGTATTTACAGATGGTTGGTATTGCAGAACTTTAGTAGCAGAGCATATGACCAGAATAAACAATAGTAATAGCAGTAATAGTAAGTAAGTTTTTATTTATATACCGCCTTTTCACTGCAGATCTGAGTCTCAAAGCGGTTTACAATTGTTAATTTTGGGCATTTGTCTCTCACTCCACACAGAGATGGGAGCGGGCTCGCCAGTACAGGAGGCACATGCCAGAACTATTGGACATATTTTTAGTGGTAGGGGAAACCAGAGTACCCGGAGGAAACCTACGCAGACACGGGGAGAAAGGCCCTGGTCCGACCGGGATTCGAACCCAGGACCTTCTTGCTGAGAGGCGAGAGTGCTATCCACTCAGCCACCGTGCCGCCAGGTAAAGTGACAATTGAATTCCGCTTCTCATTCTTTTTTAGTTTTGCTTTTAGAGTTCATATGGTTAGAATGTCATAATTCAAAAACATAACAAGGCAGCAATTATAATGCAAAGGAAAGATAACAAAATAAATACATAAAATAATAATCATTATTAAATACAATAAATAAAAATAAATGATTGTGGTTTAATAATAATTATACTAATAATAATAATAATAAAGAAAGAAAAATATGAAAGGCTTTTCATTCTTATGATTGTGGTTTGCTGGTTTAACCCCGCTCCAGTAGTTGGCAGTATACAAATATATGAATTCCTGCAAACTGACTGTAAACTCAACAAGAAGAAGAAGAAAAGTGCATTCTGGGTCTAACCCAAGATGGCTGCGCCCTGGTGACAGTGCTGAACGAGTCCCTCTCCGCGTAGATTCTCGGGATCTTGTGCGTTTTCCGTGCGAACCGAAGCAGGAGTCGGCCCGGTGGTGTCGCGGACTCACAGCCGAAGAGTCCCCGTGTGCCCGGAGCTGTATCCTGCGTGTGGCTGTGGCAGAGCGTCCGTACGACCATGGGCCTCTCTCGCACACTCTCACCATAGCGAAGCGCCGCGGGGAGAGGAGTCGTGGATTCCCCTGCAAACACGTTCTCCTGGGCTTTGACGGCTTTGACCTGCTCTACCGCCTCTGGACGCTGCCGTACAAGCTTCTGGCGCGGATAGTTTGCGCCACTGTGTCCGTATTCGCGCACAGAGGGAGAAACTCTTCCACACGGACTGCAGACATTCTCACAGGAGCCAGGTTTGCATGCTTCTGCCTTCTGCACGCCCCTCCGCCGCTGCTGCTGGAATAGCGTCATATCCCACAACCTGCACATCTGCTCTGCCTCACCGCTTTGCGTCATTTTTGCAACTTTACTCAGCCGGGAAATCAATAGTTTCCCATGCAGCCAGAGCCAGACAGACAGCGCCAATAATACCTGAGCTGTCACATTAGCCCCGCGTTGCTAACAGGGAGCTAGCCGGCTTATTTTTGTGAGACTCGGAAAGCACACATCCTGGACTGCTGTAAACATGAATTCATACAGGTACATCGACTAACTCACTGCACCAACTCCACGCTACGTTTTTTCTACCACAGCATGGCTATATTTCAGCCCAAGTAAAGTGAAAGTAGACCAAAGTTTCGCAATCAGTGTGCAAGATCATAACACATGAGTAAATATTGGTGGCCAGGACTGTCAAAACGACGTGTAGTCTCAAGACAATAGTTTATAATCACAGACAAATAATATACTTGTGAAAGGAGAGTCTAATCTGTCTTGAATTTCAAAGTAAATGTCAAAATTCTCAGCTAAGGCATCTGATTTTGGCATTTTTTTCCATTGAAATCCTAGTAACAATAATGAATGTACGGCCAAACCATTTTGTCAACTAACAAACCATCGACCCATGTAACCAACTAAAAACTGACAGCCTTAATTTTCTGCATTTTTGGCATATCTATTTGTATTGCTCAATAGGTTGTGTTCATGTGACATCACAACATTCCAAAGGGTCTATAGTTTAACATTGTGGTGGAGGGCAGCTGATCAGTATGTTCCTATGGTATGTTGCTATGGTAATTGTCAAAAGTCAGATACAGTTTAGACCTAAATTCTCTAATTCCAGCGCAAATCCACATGAAACGGTCATTAAGTTCCAAATAAATTGTCAGTACATAATGTATAAACTATGGTATAATTATTTTCTCATAAAGGCTCCTAGGGCCTTTCTGAGTGGAGTTTGCATGTTCTCCTCGTGTCTGCGTAGGTTTCCTCCGGGTACTCCGGTTTCCCCTACCGCTAAAAATATGTACAATAGGTCTGGCATGCGCCTCCTGTACTGGCACCCCCACTCCCATCTCTGTGTGGAGTGAGAGGACAGATGCCCAAAAAAAAATAACAATTGTAAACCGCTTTGTGACCCTTGTCTGTGAAAGGCGGTATATAAATAAACATTACTTACTTACTTACTTACTAGAAGCCAATAAAGAGACATACAAATAATATGGCAGGTTTGTGAATCTAATCAGTATCAATGCGTATGATATTTGAAACTATTTGGACGTTTGCTTTAAAAAAATAAAACATCTTTTCCCGTAGAGAAATGGCAGCTTGACATCAACGCAACTTATACACAATTATAGACAATTAATAGTGCTGTGCTTAACAAGAGATAAAACAGAAATATATGAATAATCAAAGTGGATTTACCTTTAGATTGCTTTGTGTCAAACCAAATTTTGTCTTTTTTTACATGTTGTCATTTTTCTCTATGCATATGTTGTTAATATTTCCTGTGCTTATCTGTTCAATGTTTCCATGCAATGTGGCGTCTGTTTTTATAAGACATGAATTAAAAACATATTTGGAGTAGGAGAGGAGCTGTAAGAGTCTGCAGGCTGAAAAACAGAAGTGATACTTGTCGAGTTAAACCAAAACCGTTTTGAAGGATTTTCTCACAGCACCTTATCTTTTATTAAGATATAGACTGCTGATTCTTGATTTTGCTTATTTGAGTTTGGATAAATGCTCCCTCAGTAAGAAATGGTATTTGCTGGATGCTTGAGGAGTGCATTGAGTTCTTTATGGATACCACACCTAAATTATTCATGTTTAAAACGTCAGTAAAAAAAAAAAATAATACAATGGACTGTGTTATTATGTTTTACTTAATGCAGTATTACTCCTACTGTACTCCAACTGTTCAATTCCATTTCGTTTTGTTCTGCCCAATTTCACAACAGCAGTTTTCTTAGAGAACCGAATTGTCGAGTTGAGTAGAGTTGAGAAATTCAATGCGAAAGTCAGATCCCATCAGATCTCTGAAGCTGGGCAGGGCAGGGCCTGGTTAGTACTGTGATGGGAGACCTCTGGGATCATCAGGTGCCACAGTGGGGCAGGTGTGGCTGTAAAGTGCCAAACTGTTGTTGTGTCCTTTGGCAAACACTTTACCCTCATTGCCTAGAATGAGTCTGGTGTGTGTGTGAATGGTTGGTGGTAGTGGGAGGGACCGATGGCACATACTGGTTGCATCGCGTTTGTGAGTGTGCCCCAGGGCAGTTGTGGCTACAGTAATAGTTTATCACCACCGTGTATGGAGTGAAAGAACAATGACATGTGAAGTGTCATTGAGTGTCCTGAAAAGTGATATATAAAACCAGTGCATTATTATTATTTAATCAAACCCATAGGAACCAGTGTTTGTTTGGAGTAGTGAGATGATCAATGTAAATGTTCATAAAGGTCCATACTAAACAATATGATATTTATCTTAATCTCGTCCTTCATGAGTTATTTTAAGGAGTAAGTTTGTTAAGTTTAGTTCATTACAAAACTTGATTTTGAAACTGGATTTGACCACACCATGCTGATAAAACCAAAGTCAAAGAAATGACTAACTTTGTTCCCCAGAGCACTCATGAGGATGGATACGGAGCTGCACTCGCCGGCGCTGTCTCTGGCTGAGGAGGAGGAGGCCGACATGAACGACTGGAAGCTGCCTCTGGCGTTTATGAAGAAGCGACACTCTGAGAAGATCGAAGGCTCCAAGGCTTTGGCCCAGAGCTGGAGGATGAAAGACCGGGTGAGTCTGCTCTCCATCTGGGGCGTTGGGGTCAGGAGCTCTATGCGCTTGTGTTGAGAATATGAATGTCTGAATTAATGGATGCATTTTTCACAGTATCGTTGTTCTGGGGTAATTTTGATGTTTGATAGTATGTATTTAAGGCATTGTTTGGGGCCCTCTTGTGGCGTTGGGGTCCTTAATAACTGCTTGGCGTTCTCCTGATAGTGCTGCTCTTGCTGAACCTTCGCAGTGCCTTCAGCTGAGAACAATCAGTCATTTATGTCACATGTCTTCTCATGTCTGCACACGAACACGAGTGTCATGATAAAAGATCTGACAAAGCCTCGGTAGATTAGTAGATTGGCTTTATCAGGCAAAAGTTATTACCACATGATAGATGAAAGGTCAAATGTCAGTCTGGAGAATGCTGAAGTGAAGTGCCCTCAGCTTTCCCACACAGTACATTTACATTTGCTCAGTGATTTATTTGTCTATACATTTGTTACACCCTGTTTTAAAGTATGCACTTGCAAAGAGCAATTACAAGACAAAAAAGTATTTGTAAAATGTACGGTTATTTAATGTAATTTAATAAGAAAAAGTAAACTCATCTTGGTCAAGGGCTGAATGTAAATACTATCTACACTTAGTGGCAAGGTTTTTTTTTTCTAGCTTATTTTTAGCAATATTTTTTTTAACGTTTTTGTTTAAACATTATGATGGTAAGAATCAACTATGAGTTTGGGTAATATTTTCTGAACATAAAGAGTTTAGTTACTGTTTGGATTTACTCAAATCGACAAACTTTATTTGTTGACTGATAGGCCGAGGATTAAATTTTTTTATTCAACTATTTATAAATATGCAAATACAAGTTTAGCACACTAATTGAAAACCATTTCAGGGGCCACAAAACAAGAGTCAGCATGTTACTTTTCAGATGGAGGCCTGTCATCTCTATAGATAATATATTCAATACTAAAATAAGTCTTCCATGACAGTGATGCCTTTGGCTCAAGGGCAGGGGTGTCAAACTTTTCCAGTTTTTTCATTCTGGTTTTCATTCCAACCAAGCCGGAGCTTATCCGACTCTGATGTGCTCGTGCTTGGTTGATATGGGGCAAGACAACACAGCCCTTTCTGGGTTTGAGTTTGACACCCCTGCCCTAAAACACACAAACAATGTAGTGATTGAGTGTTTTAGTAAGAGTTTGTTGATCTCTTACTGCAAGAAATGGATTTTTCTTTCTTGCTGCCTCAAAAACCTAGCCTGGCTCTGCCAGACCCTTGTAGTTCCGCCATGCTCCACCAGAGGCGTTTGGCTGAACCACATGGGTCTGGTATCGACGCCATAGCGAACGCCTTCCCCAGATTATTTTTTAATCGACCAATCAGGATTGCTGGTGGTACGTGGGGTTTGCACTGCCTTCTCAAGCTTCTCTCATGCAGCAGCGAGAGGAATCCAAGATGGCGGACGTAAAGTCCGCGAATCTTTTTAAAAGAGTAAATACGATCGAATTAAGACACGGATGTCACTTTTAATGCAATTTGAGGCGAGATGTTGATGGTTCTATGTTGATATATGTGTGTTTTAAGAGTCAAATGTTCCTGTAAAGTTTGGTTGAAGCACTGGTTCAGTGTTCCTGTTTACACACTATGCAGCAGGGTTGCCAGGTTTGGTGGTTCCCGCATATTTTTTTCCAAGAGACTTGTAGGTATTAAATAAACAGAAAGACAATAAACAGAATCATGATAGCCCAAGTTGATTTCATTACGTTTTTAGCCAAAAAATCATTCTGGGATTTGGCAACCAATGGGAGCCGTGTGCTTCGATGTGAGTGGTTGAAAGCAGACTTCATTCAAGATAACGGACAAGTGGTCTATCCAATCACATACAAGGATTTTTTTTTTACAAGGCCCTGCCTTCTGAAATCCAACCACTATGGCTCAGTACCAGACTCATGTATGAAGTGCAGAAAACTACATGGGTCTGGCGAGAGTCAGGCTATCAAAAACCACCCTTAACATCGTAAGCTTGGTGCAGAGATCCAGGAAGTGAAAAATCCGGCACCTTTACAAATCTCATTCATATTATAATAGAGATTTGAAAAATATGAGTCCCAAATATGTTTTCCATCCAATTTATAGAATGGTACAGATATAATGTATAATAAAAATATGTCTGTTTTTATGAAGTACAGGTTTCAGGATGTCTCACAACCTGTGAGATAAACTCCCTCTCACTTCACCACACGTCTGTTACCCTGCGTCTGTCTAATGACTCCCTAAAAGCTCTGGGACTCGTCTAAATCACTGCGTCTCCTCCCTTTTTTTATCACGACTTCACTTCATTTGATTCTGCTCGGAGCTCGCCGTGGTGCGCTTTGACAGGGGAACCTCAAAGCTGTCCCTCCTGAATGACTACAGTGTGTTCCAGCGCCTTCACCTCTCATAAAGCTCTCGTTTGATCCACCGCGGTGCCACCAACCTGATTATTTCACTGCCTCTCGGCTTCACAGAGCCACTGCCGTAATGATGGCCGGGTCTTCATAGTCGTCCATAACCCCGGCCTGCCTCACACCTCCGCGGTAAATACACCCAAATGAATTTTTAACACGTTGCCGCCGTCCAGGGCTCCCGAGAATTTCCCCTCCATGTTTCGCAAAGTGCCAAGCTTGAGGGAAATTGTGAATAAGATTACATCATTAAAAGTGTATGTAGTATTGATGTAAAAAGGGGGCATAAAGTCTGGAGGGAATTGGTATTTTTTATCAGAAAGTCGTGTTAAATGAAGCCGGTTACATTATTATAGCCAGCAGCGTTGACTTGTCTTTGACTTGAACAAGAATGTGCTACTCGTGCGCAAAGCCAGGGCCGGGTTGATTTGGGAAACTTATAGGGCTATATATAAGTTCATCAGTCGATTAATCGCAACCAGTTTTTTATTGAATTTCTTTTTTAGTATTAGTTACAGCCTTATTGTATTGATACATGTGGATTTTTAAATGTTGTCAATGTGAAGCACTTAAGGTTGCATTCTGAACTCTGCTATTGAAATCAATCAATCAATCAAAATTATTTGTATTTTAGTTTATTATTTTTTCCAGTGAACCATGACACCAGAAGAGCAGCAAGAGGTGTTGAAATGGGCCCTAAAGCTGACTTTTGCTCACGAAATCTCCTGCCCTAGAGCGATTGAACCCGATATGCAGGAGAAGCCCCTTTTGTCCTTGTGGGTTGTGACATGACCCACGACACGAGTGAATGGTTTTATCATTTAAAACTCTCTATTTACACGAAGGGCTACAGTTTCTGCACCTGCCGCACAGCTGTGATAAGAGCTCTCACATTGCAACGTGGTTATCGGTGGTCAATGTCCGCCAAGGTCAGATGTTCAATGACCAAAAGAATAAGCTCGCCAGTCTGTCTGGGTTCCAGAATGTCAATGATATATTTTATGTTTCGTGGCACTTTCATAAAAGTCTTTTCGTCCACTTGCAATGATCAAAATAAGGGTTTTTAAGTTGATGTGTTGCTTGTATTGATTGAACTTCAACCTGATAAGATAAAGCATTAGTCATAAACACACGGTCGGTAACTTTTTATTTTAAAGTGATTTGTCTGGAGTTTGTCAGAAAAATTAGAGAGAGGTACAGGATTTGAAAAATACGACCCAAGCTCCCTCCCTCTTCGTTTCTGATTGGTCTACACCTATGTTTCTGTAACACATTTAAATGTTAATCTGAGAACACATTATACATAAACAATATTAATAAACATGCACGGAGGTTTTCAGAATTATTTGTCAACGTATTCATGACAAAAATAATGTTTTAATGCACAAAAAAGCGAAAAAAGCTTCGGTCTTTTTAATTGTATGATCACATCCCTTCTGAATGTTGACGTCACTGTGGTTTGACGTAATCTTGATTGATCGGCTCGCTCTGCTCTGACACATTTGTGCAGCTCCAATCGCAAATACAGCTGCTGCCTGGATCCACGCTTCCAGGTTTTGCTTGTCCTGTGCAAAGACAATTGATCTAACAGCGGAAAGACGGGATGTTTATAGCCGGAGGGCAATAGGAAGTATAACGCTGATGTCCATCTGATGTCAATGTGGTGGCATATGTTCAAAACACTAGAGGCCATTGGACGCTCTTCTGTGCTAAATATGCTCCAACTGATTTATTTTGGGACTCGATGGATGAATAAAATTCTTCCTAATCTCGGTTAGGTTTAAACGGTTTAAAATAATTAAGTGATGGCATAATGTTGTCGCAACTTGCACCACTGTCCTCCTGATTTTTAAAGTCTTACTCAATTGAAAGTTTCTGTTGATAGACCGAGTCTAATTATTGAACCCTTTTTAGATTAATTTTAGATTTTTTAGGTTAAAATGAACAAAACATTAATTCTTGCCAAATATCTGAAAAAAGCCTAATGCGTAACACAGAATGATTTTTCCTCATTTGGTCGGATGAAATATAAATACATTTAATTCAAATTATCAATCAAAAAATCGGTTTCCAATTCTGTTTAAGTTACTTTTCAAATTGTGAAGATGGAAAGACTCTTTTGCAATGTAGGTGCTAGTTAGACCCGCCCCCACAGGTTTATGATCCTATAGACAACTAAGGCCCCTCACCATTGGTCTATTCCCCTCCTGAAAATATTACTGGTAATGCTTATTCCAAGGGAACTGTTTCAAATACATAAAAATTAAATAAATAAAAAATGATTGAAGGAATTTGATGTTACTGCATGATGAAACATGTAACTTTCAGTTAGTGGCAGACCGCACCTTTAAAGACGTTTGGATGTTTTTTTATCAATAAATGTTTCAGTCCTATAAGAGGCCTAGTGTCTGAAAAAGACCCAAATTGTTGGTGTGATCAATGTTCGGGTTCTCTTCATGCGTGGCGACAAAACCATTTCCTCCTGCTCATTATGCGGCCATTATGAATTTTTGTTTTTCGTCTGAGGAATGAAATCAATAAAGTGTCAATACCCAAGCCCCA